CTTTTCCTGATTCTCAATAAACCAAGTTATGGTAATGTGGGAAGAAAAGAAGTTTCTAATAGGAGCTGGTGTCGGTGCTTCGATACTTGTTTACTATGTGAGTCCGTTTCAAAGTTTATTTTATTTCTTTATTAAATACATTTGTTCATAACAAATTTGCAGGTTATCAGGCGCCTCAGAGAAAACTCTAAAAATAATGATTTGATTCCAATCGGGACGGTGAAGGAGTTGTATGTTTATCCTGTGAAGTCATGCAAAGGAATTAGTGTACGAATTTTCTAAGAACTTCATCTGGTTTTTTTTTTCAACTGCACTGATGTGGGAACAATTCAAAGTGTACACACTTCGAACAGTTTAGCATGTTTTTTGGACTTTCTGCGCACACGTAGTGTAACCTTGAAATGTTGTAACAACAGGTGTTCTCCTTCTACTGCCATCCCCTTGGCCCGGTTTCTGGAGAAAACTTTGATCGGTTCTTCATTGTCATAGATGGCAAAACTGGACGGTGAGGTTTTCACTGTTCCACTGTAAAAGAAAGAAAAGATAATAATTTTAAATAAGCTCTTGAATCTTATTCTCAATCCATTATCCGTGACCAGGGAAGACTAATCTTTTTAAGGTTTTATACAGCTCGGCAGAAGCCTGTGATGGTAACTATAGAGTGTAAAGTTTCCGACAATACTCTGCTGGTAAGGACCAAGGAAGGCAATAGCGTAACAGTTGATATCGACAGTGTTCGCAAAAACAACTGTTTAAGAACAGCAATGTGAGTTGATGCTTAATAACTACAACTAATTTACCGAAATTCAAATTAAATTTAGACAATTTCTAAATTTTTTGCACTTAACTAAGGATATCCAAATGTTGATGAAATGAAGATACCCATTTTACAAAGACTACTCACATTGTGTGGGTGAAATGATTCCAAAGAGCTTTTTTCGAACCCTTTCTATGTAGGACAGAGTGGCGCGTAAAGAATTTTGAGCATCATCTACTGGCATGCTATGCTAAGGGTTTATAGGTTATATCAGATTGTCAAAAGTTCTGCCCGAGAAATTCCGAATACTCTAACTTTGCCTTCTTGAGGGATATAGTAAAAGGAT